CGGGCGACTGGCAAGAGAGGATCGACAACTTCCTCCTTACACAACACATCACCCCGCATGCCACCACCAAGAAGAGCCCAGCTGAGCTACTGATGGGCAGACGCCTGAGGTCACCCCTGGACCGGCTGCACCCCCAGTACAACCCCGAAGTGACAGCAACGGCCAGCCGGCCACTCCGCGCCTTCGCCATAGGAGACCCGGTGTTTGCGCTTAACTTCAACGGCTCTCCGAAGTGGTTAAAGGGGAGAATAGAAAGCACAACCGGCCCGAAGTCCTACCGAGTCGAGCTGGAAGATGGACAGGTCTGTAGACGGCACATCGACCAGCTCCGGAAAAGGTGGAGGGGATCGGAAGGAAACCAGCCTGACGAGGTAGGCCTACCACACCCCGATGAGGTAGGCCTGCAACACCCCGGCAGGGCAGGCCTACAGCACCCCGGCGAGGTAGGCCTACAACACCCCGACGGGGCAGGCCTACAACACCCAGGCGAGGCAGGCCACCGACACCCCGACGAGGCCGGCCAAGCACATTCCCATGCACTCACCCATCGGCGATCCAGAGCGGTAGACCGGGACCTGTCACAAGAGGGATGGCATCCCCAACCCGGAAAGGTGGGCATCCGCCACTCCATGGAGAGGGACCGCCACAACAGTCAAGGGGTAGACCGGGACCCACCCAGGGAGGGAGAATCGCACCCCTCCAGCGACGAGTACCAACAACGGCCCTGCCAGGGAGACCGACGCTCCAGGCAAGTAGACCGGGGACAACCACACGGGGGAGGCGCACAACACGCAACCCAAGCCGACCAGCGACCGACCGGCAAGGGAGACCCCAACCAGCATCCAGACCGGGTCGACCAACACCAACCCTGTAAGGTCGACCAGCACCACTCCAGCAAGGAAGGCGCACACCACCCAGACCAGGTCAAACAGCACCACCCCAGCGAGGTCGGCCAGCACCAACCCTGCGAAGCCAACCAGCTCCAACCCAGCCACGGAGATGAACACCACCCCGGCGAGGTTGACCACACTGGACAGCGACAGCGACGGGAGCCATGGAAGCCCAACGAGACACCAACGGACTTACCGGGTTTCGGACGGCACCCACCGGACAGCAGCGATGTCCCGCCGCGAGGTTCCAGACTCTCCAGGCGAGGGAAGGACCAGCGACTCCAGCACGAACTTCCAGATGTTGCGGCCGGAGGTGCTGGGACGGATCCCGCACACTCGACGGCCAGAGCCCCGGCCACCCCCACCGGGGAGCCGGGAAGGACAGGAGCTTCGCCTGCACAGGCCGGCGGCGAAGCTCAGACTGAACTGCGCAGGTCATCTCGGGCAAGCAGGCGCCCCGCCTACTTGCGTGACTTTGTCATGTATATTAACTGTGATGGACATTTTTCAGACTAAGGGGGGAGGAGTGTTATGTCCTTATATGGGCACCCGCTGGGGATTGGCTAATCCTCCGGCGGGAAATTCAAATAACTGTCAGTGGGCGGCTGAGTCTGCCGGAGCGTATAAAAGGAGCTCCGGCAGCCCAGCCGCTCGTCTTTTTCCTGTGCTTGAATAAAGTACTGAACTGGACCAGAGCTGGTCGCGTCTTGCTTTCCCTGCGCCGATCTAACAAAGGCAAACCGCAATCCTCAAAGCAAGGCAAAAAGGCAGGAGTCAAAGCCGGGGGAGTGTAATCGAAAACAAACAATTGATCCTGGCAAAGACTACCGTATTTTTTGGAGTATAAGATGCACCTTAGTTTTTGGGGAGGAAAATAAGAAAAAAGCTGATTGGCAGGTGGATCAACCTCCCAGAATGCCCCCAATCAGCTGTTCCCAGAGGTGAATTTTAGCAACAGGTTCCTTGGTTGTGGCTTTGTGCCTTGCTTTTTTTTTTTTTTTTTTTTTTTGCTTTTTTTTCTGCCTCTGAAAGCCTCCGAAACAGCTTCAGAAAAAAAAAGCTTCTGAAGCTCTGTTTAGGGCAGGGGTGAAATCTACTTACCTTCCTTATTGGTTCGAAGGGCATGCGCCACGCATGTCATGGGCTCCCACACACCTTCTGCGCATGAGCAAAACCTGCACTTGCGCAGAAGGTAAAAAAACATTACCTTCCTGGTTAAAGCCAGGAAATAATGACACCTGGTAGCAATTGCTACCAGATCGCCGAACACAGGGAAAAATCACTACCAGATCGGGCGATCCCATCCGATCCGGGAGCATTTCACCCTGTTTGGGGGCCTCTTTTCTGAGGCTCTGGAGGCTCTTTTTCTGAAGCTCTGTTTGGGCTTCTTTCCTGAAGCTTCGTTTCTGATGCTTTTTTCAGCCTCTGAAACCTCCGTTTGAGGAGCTGGGCGGGGGTAGGCTTACATCGGAGTATAAGACGCACCCAGATTTTTCACCCTCTTTTTGGGGGGGGAAAAAGGTGAGTCTTATACGCTGAAAAATACGGTAACTCTCCCTAAGTCAGTCCACTCCAGGTGTTCACCATGAGCAGAGGCAGGGCGACCCTATCCCGAGCAGCCGAGCCCTTCTCTAAGTCTGCCGACCCTCCAGTCTCCTTGCCCTTGGATCAAGTGGAGGAGGCAGCTCTTTCACATCAGGGGAGATCCGCTGCAGCGGCTGATCTTCCTTGTGTCCGTGAAGCCAGGCAGCTCTCTATCTAGTCGACCACCTCCCCCAATGCCTGAGGGGCCTGGGGCAGCATTGCCCTCAGCCCTGGCCTCTCCAAACATGCTGAGGGAGAGGTGTGCCAGGTCCCAGTTCCAACTCCTCCTCTGAACGGACTCCCACAGGGCCACAACAGGATTTTCCTAAAATCTGCTATCATCTCTACAGCTTTGAATCAGTGGTGGAATTCAAATTTTTTTTACTACCGGTTCTGTGGCGTGGCTTGGTGGGCGTGGCAGGGGAAGGATACTGCAAAATCCCCATTCCATCCCCACTCCTGGGGAAGGATATTCAAAATCTCCTTCCCATCCCACTCTGGGACCAGCCAGAGGTGGTGTTTGCCTATTCTCTGAACTACTCAAAATTTCCACTTGGTTCTCCAGAATCTGTCAGAACCTGATGATAGCAATCCTGCTTTGAATGTATTCAGTTCAGGATTGTTCCAAAAACCGAAATTAATTTAGCATTTTCAAGCCTGTGCTGGCGATGATCCCAACCTAGGGAACTTTAAGATGCTGACTGGAAGATTCTGGGAGTTGAAGTTCATACATCTTCACGTGCCCAAAGTTAAGAAACACTGGTAATGTGGAACAAATGAATAAAAATATCATTTGTAAGAGGTTTTCCAGGGCCGCCTTCTTTCTTCAATTTACCTTAATACCACAGGGTTCCTCATCTGATGATTTTTCTCTCTTGGCTCTCTGCAGTTCCGGGTTGACTTTCACTGTGGCAATTGCCAAATGCCCAGATCAGAGTCGCTTTCCATTTCAACGTCGTTTTGATCAGAACTGTATTGTATGCAATTCACACGAAAAGGGCTGCTGGCAGCAAAAAGAAAGAAAATGTGATATGGTTTTCGCAAAGGGCATCCTTTTGAGATCGGGTTTCTTGTGAACATCTCTCCTAAGTGGTCGGGACACGTAAATCCTCTTCATGGGTTAGTTGTTAGTGGTAACCATTGTTTTGGTTCCTGTCCAAAAAGGTGCTTTTTCCAAAAGGCAAGCCGACTTTCTGGGATTTTTTCTTTGAAAACATCTTCACTTTCATCAAGAGGCTTCTTCAGTTCTTCAGATCAGAATGAAAAGCTTCTTGGATGAGAAGCGAAAAAATTTTCAAAGAGAAAAACAAAGAAGTCGTGGCTTTTGGACCAAGGCAGGGGGGAAACCTGACTTGGAGCCCTCCTGGTGCAGGAGGTTCAAAATCTCCATTCAAGCCCACTCTGACCACAGTTTGGTGTTTGATCTGACTGCTCAGCTACTGGATTCCAGAATCCAGATCCTGCTGAGGTCCAGAAAATGAGGACCAGGATTGTTAAAAACACAAATTAAATTTAGCATTTCAAGCCTGTGCTGGCGATGATCCCAACTAGGGAACTTTAAGATGCTGACTGGAAGATTCTGGGAGTTGAAGTTCATACATCTTCAAGTGCCCAAAGTTAAGAAACACTGGTATTGTGGAACAAATGAATAAAAATATCATTTGTAAGAGGTTTTCCAGGGGCCTTCTTTCTTCAATTTACCTTAATACCACATGGTCCTCATCCTGATGATTTCTCTTTCTTGCTCTCTCTGCAGATTCCGGGTTGACTTTCAATGTGGCAATTGCCAAATGCCCAGATCAGATGTCGCTTTCCATTTCAACGTCCGTTTTGATCAGAACTGTATTGTATGCAATTCACACGAAAAGGGCTGCTGGCAGCAAAAAGAGAGAAAATGTGATATGGTTTTCCGCAAAGGGCATCCTTTGAGATCCAGTTTTTGTGAACATTTCCTCCTATGTGGTACGGACACGATAAATCCTCTTCATGGGTTAGTTTGTTAGGTGGGTTTAACCATTGTTTTGGTTCCTGTCCAAAAGGTGCTTTTTCCAAAAGGCAAGTAGACGTTCTGGGTTTTTTTCTTTGAAAACATTTCACTTCTCATCCAAGAGGCTTCTTCAGTTCTTTGGATCAGAACTGAAGAAGCTTCTTGGATGAGAAGCGAAAAATTTCAAAGAAAAAAAAACAAAGAAGTCCGGTTGCCTTTTGGAAAAAGCACCTTTGGGACAACCGTGACCTGGAGCCCTGGTGGTGCAGAGGTTAGAATGCAATATTGCAAGCTAATTGTGCCCACAGTCTGGAGTTTGATCCTGACTGGCTCAGTGTTGATTCAGCCTTCCGTCCTTCTGAGGTCAGTAAATGAGGACCCAGATTGTGGGGGGAAATATGCTGACATTGTAAACTCTAAAGCACCATGGGGCAGAATATAATTGCTGGATGATAGAGAATCTCCACAGACATTTCCTTCTCTGTTGTTGTTCTTGTTGCGAAGATATGACAAGCTGCTTCTTCTGTGTTGCCAGCCAGGTTCACGTAGATGGAAAGAAATATTTGAAATTCAAACACAGGATTCCTCTTTCCCGAGTAGATAACATCGGAATTTCAGGAGAACTGAATGTGGACTCAGTCTGCTTCCAAGGTCCAATTGTAGGTATTCCATTTATTCATTTTATTTATAAAACACCTCTTCTGCCTTCTCTGATAAACAAATGGCTACCCTTATTTTTCTTGGGATTAAATGTGTGGAATACTTAGACAGGATAAATATATGCCTTTCCTCTTTCCTTCCGGTCTTTGAATAATGCAAAGATTTTCTGCAGTTTCCCAGGAGGTATGGGGGAAAGATAAAACAAAAAAGTCCAAGTGGTGGCCTAATGCCAACAATCCCTCATGTGTGTCACAGACATCATGCACTTCAACAGAGACATAACTTGGATTGCATGGCATTAGATGCCATTTTGATATTTTTGACCCTGTTGGGTGCTCTGACAGGACCAGTCGCAGTGGAGAACCTATCACACCTCTCCATCTTTTGAACTTTAGCGAGATTGTTGTGAGAGGATGTCAGAAAGCACCACATTTTTGTATTATCAGGTAGTCCTTGACTTACAACTGTTATGGAGCCTAGAATTTCTGTCTGTAGGTCATGATTGTCATAAGTTGAGGCATTTATGTGACTGGCTTGATTTTACGAGCTTTTTTGTGACAGTTGGTAAGCAAATGCAGCAGTTGTAACATCAAAGCTGCAGTCATCAAAGAAGCGTTTTTCAGTGGCTGAGAATTCTGGGGTTGAAGGCCACACACCTTAAAATTGTTGAGGTTGAGAAATACTGACCTAGAAGTCACTCTTCATTTTGATACTTCCTCATACAATTTCCTTTGATTTCTTTTTTTTTTTCCAGACTTATCCAGTTTGTTGCAAACCAATTTGCCCAACACTCTCACAGGTATGATATATGGTTGTTTTCTTTAAAAAATGCCAACAATCCCTCATGTGTGTTACAGACACAATGCACTTCAACAGAGGTACAACTTTGAATGCATGGCATTAGACGCCATCTTTATTTTTTTGACCCCGTTGGGTGCTGTGACAGGACCAATGGCAGTGGAGAACCTATCACACCTCTCCATCTTTAGATGTTTAGCAAGATTGTTGTGAGAGGATGTCAGAAAGCACCACATTTTTAGTCCTTTAGTCCGTAGTCCATGACTTACGACTGTAATGGAGTCTAGAATTATCTGTCTGTAAGTCATGATTGTGATATCTTGAGGCATCTACGTGATAGATTTGATTTTACAAGATTTTTTTGTGACAGTTGCTAAGCAAACGGAACAGTTGTAAAGTCAAAGCTGCAGTCATAAAGGGGGTCCCCTCCCATGGGTGTGTTTTTAGCAGAAACCAGCCAAAAAGGCTGGAAACCAGCAAATATTAATTGCAATCACGTGATCATGGAACATTGCAACTGATGAAAAGTGAGCCGGTTGCCAAGTTTCCAAAATGTGGTCATGTGACTAGAGGTGTGTGTATTCCTCTGTCAGAAACCAGGTTATAAGTACCTTCGGGGGTGTTTTCATATCCTTGGACAGCCGCTAAACGACCGCTCATTAAGCAACACTACCTGTACCATCTAAGAAGTGTTTTTCACTGGCTGAGGAATTCTGGGAATTGAAGGCCACACTTTTAAATTGTTGAGGTTGATACTTGCTCATACAATTTCCTTTGATTTCTGTTTTTTTTCCAGACCTATCCAGTTTGTTGCAAACCAATTTGTCCAACACTCTCACAGGTATGATATATGGTTGTTTTCTTTAAAAAATGCCAACAATCCCTCATGTGTGTCACAGACACAATGCACTTCAACAGAGGTACAACTTTGAATGCATGGCATTAGACGCCATCTTTATTTTTTTGACCCCGTTGGGTGCTGTGACAGGACCAGTGGCAGTGGAGAACCTATCACACCTCTCCATCTTTAGAAGTTTAGCAAGATTGTTGTGAGAGGATGTCAGAAAGCACCACATTTTTAGTCCTTTAGTCCGTAGTCCTTGACTTACGACTGTAATGGAGTCTAGAATTATCCGTCTGTAAGTCATGATTGTCATAACTTGAGGCATCCACGTGACTGACTTGATTTTACAAGCTTTTTTTGTGACAGTTGCTAAGCAAACACAGCAGTTGTAAAGTCAAAGCTGCAGTCATAAAGAGAGTCCCCCTCCTATGGGTGTGTTTTTAACAGAAACCAGCCAGCAAATATAAATTGCAGTCACGTCATCATGGAACATTGCAACTGATGAAAAGTGAGCCAGTTTGATCCTTCCTCATACAATTTCCTTTGGTTTCTGTTTTATCCAGACCTATCCAGTTTGTTGCAAACCAATTTGCCCAACAACCTCACAGGTACGATATACGGTCATTTTCTTTAAAAAAAAATGCCAACAATCCCTTGTGTCATGTCACAGACATCATGCACTTCAACAGAGACACAACTTTGATTGTATGCAATTCACATGAAAAGGGTGGCTGGCAGAAGGAAGAAGAAAGTAAAAATGATACGGTTTTCCGCAAAGGGCATCCTTTGGAGATCCAGTATCTTGTGAACATCTCCTCCTATGTGGTATGAAGACGATGTCGTCTTCATGGGTTTATAATCACCATCTTTTTAAAAAATACACTTGGGTTTGGTTATCGATTTTTACCTTGTAGCAATGGAAAAGCATTTTTCAAAATGTGTGAAATACAAAATGTCTCAAAGCATCCCTTGCTGAATGCAAAACTGCTCTCAAATGCAAAATGGGCCCCATCATTGCACACATAACCCGATGGAGTTTGGGGCACACTTTCTTTGGATCTTGTCTTTATTTTTATTTATCAGTTTAGAAACCGTCTCCTTCACAGAGCAACTCATCCAGTCTCTTACCCACTTTAGGTAATCCATACAGTCTCCCAATGGAGCCTGCCCATTATGGTCATCAGTTGTGACCGTCATAATGTAGATCATCACATGATCAGATCTGTTTTTGTTGCCTTTTTTGCAGGGTTAAGTGAACCATTTTTTACTATGGGCCATTTTTGCCGAAAATTGTGCGTAAATGCTGATTTTCTACAAAAACATGTTAAATTACAGTCTCATGATAGAAGGACATTAGAAATGGCTGTAAATGCAGACCCATTGCCAAATGCCCAAAACACAATTGGGGGAGAAAGGTGGCTCTTGTAACTTCGCATCAAGGTTGCAAGTACCATTTTGGATGATCTGTCACTGAGCGATCCATTGTAAGTCAAGGACCAACAGTAATCTCAACTTGGTTTAAGTGTTTTTGAGGAGTCTAGTCCTTATCATTTCTAAAACATGGTTTGTGACTTCCCAGTTGGCCTTACAAACGGCCAATGTTCCATCATGCTTGAAAGTAGCCACTATATTCCCAGTCCCGAAGGGCAAAAAACGGGCCTACAAGAAGTCTGAAAACAGGCCGTTTCCGGCCCCCGTGGGCCAGGGGAGGCCATTTTCGCCCTTCCTGAGGCTCCAGGAAAGCCTCCGGAGCCTGTGGAGGGTGAAAAATAGGCCTACCGGAAGTCCGAGGGGGGAATACGGTGGGGTCACACACGCATATGCCGAGGGTGTGGCAGCATGGGGGGTTGTGCGTGTATGCGCAGGGGGACAGGGTGTGCATGGGGGGCATTGCATTATGGGTGTGGGCATGTGTGCTATCACACGCACATGCGTTTTTGGTACCTGAGGAAAAAAAGGTTAGCCATCATTGCCTTAGGTCATAACTCCCACAAAATTTTGACCAATACGGTTTGCCTACAGGGGGAATAGATCAACAGACGACGCCATAGCTACTGCTTTACATTCCGTAGTGAGTCATCTAGAGAAACCCAAAAACTATGTCAGAATGCTTTTCATGGACTACAGCTCAGCCTTCAACACCATTCTGCCGAGCATCCTTATTGAAAAGCTGACTGACTTGCATTTTCCCTCTTTCCCTCTGTGCCTGGATTAAAGATTTTCTAATGAACTGGCCACAAACAGTGAGGACTGGGTCTTTTATATCGTCCTCCTGAAGCTCAGCACTGGCTCTCCTCAGGGCTGTGTGCTCAGTCCAAACCTGTATTCATTGTACACATACAATTGTGCATCTTCTGACCCATCCACTGTGATTATCAAGTTATCAAGAGTCCATCTTAGCGAAGATCTTGCAGGGTCGGCGCAATGTGCAACATGTTCATATTGGTGCAATATATTATAATGTAATGTTACACACATATATGTATTGTGTGTTTGTTAGTATGATTTACTGGGTTAGGGATTTTCTTTCTTTCACTGTGAGTTATTGAGATGTATTTGTGTTGGGGGTGTGTGCACTAAGGGAGGCTCAGCCAATCTCATTGTACACATGTTGTGCATTGACAATAAAGGTTTGAATTTGATTTATTTGTAACCTACTACTAACGGGGGTTAGCTTGTTAGGTGAGTTCAACCATTGTTTTGGTTCCTTCTCTGTTGTCCAAAAGGTGCTTTTTCCAAAAGGCAAGTAGACTTTCTATTTTCTTTTTCTTTGAAAACATTTCACTTCTCATCCAAGATTCTTTGGATCAGAACTGAAGAAGCTTCTTGGATGAGAAGCAAAACATTTTCAAAGAAAAAACAAAGAAGTCCGGTTGCCTTTTGGAAAAAGGTTTAGGTTTAGGTTTTATTAAATTTGTATACCGCCCTACTCTCGAAGGACTCAGGGCGGTGAACAGGCACAGGATAAAATACAGAAATACAAAAGTTAAAAACAATTTAAAACCAAATTAAATAATATTGGCCCACGACAATTAAAATCCCAATAAATTTAAAACAAATTAAAATTAAATTAAAAAGCAGCTTTGGGACAACCGTGACCTGGAGCCCTGGTGGTGCAGAAGTTAGAATGCAGTATTGCAGGCTAATTCTGCCCACAGTCTGGCGTTTGATCCTGACTGGCTCAGTGTTGATTCAGCCTTCCGTCCTTCTGAGGTCAGTAAATGAGGACCCAGATTGTGGGGGGCAATATGCTGACATTGTAAACTCTAAAGCACCATGGGGCAGAATATAATTTCTGGATGATAGAGAATCTCCACAGATGTTTTCTTCTCTGTTGTTGTTCTTGTTGCGAAGATATGACAAGATGCTCCCTTCTGTGTCTGCCAGGTTCTCGTAGATGGAAAGCTGCATTTGGAATTCAAACAGAAGATCTGTCTTTCCCAAGTAAATAACGTCGGAATTTCAGGACAACTAGATGTGGACTCAGTCAGCTTCCAAGGTCCATTTGTAAGTATTCCATTGATTCATTTTATTTATAAAACACCTCTTTTTTTTTTATTTGATTTATATGCCGCCCTTCTCCGGAGACTCAGGGTGGCTTACAATGCATTAAGCAATAGCCTTCATACTTTTGTATATTTTATACAAAGTCAGCTTATTGCCCCCACAATCTGGGTCCTCATTTTACCTACCTTAGAAGGGATGGAAGGCTGAGTCAACCTTGAGCCTGGTGAGATTTGAACTTGCAGTAATTGCAGGCAGCTGATGTTAATAACAGTGCTTTAGTCTGCCACGTCACCAGGGCTCTTCTGCCTTATTTTTTCTTGGGATTAAATATATGCCTTTCTTCTTTCCTTCCAGTCTTTGAATAACGCAAACATTTTCTGCAGTTTCCCAGGTGATATGGGGGAAAGATATAAAACAAAAAAGTCCAGGTGGTGGCCTAATGCCAACAATCTCTCATGTGTGTCACAGACATCATGCACTTCAACTGAGACACAACCTTGATTGCATGGCATTAAGATGCCATCTTCATTTTTTTGACCCCGTTGGGTGCTGTGACAGGATCAGTGGCAGTGGAGAACCCATCACACCCCTCCATCTTTTGATATTTAGCAAGATTGTTGTGAGAGGATGTCAGAAAGCACCACATTTTTAGTCCTTTACTGCGTAGTACTTGGCTTACGATTGTAATGGAGCCTAGAATTTCTGTCTGTAAGTCATGATGAGGCATCCACGTGACTGACTTGATTTTACAAACTTTTTTTGTGACAGTTGTTAAGCAAATGCAGCAGTTGTAAAGTCAAAGCTGCAGTCATAAAGGAGTCCCCTCCCATGGGGTTTTTATTTGCAGAAACCAACCAAGAAAGCTGGAAACCAGCAAAAATAAATTGCAATCACTTGATCATAGAACATTGCAACTGATGAAAAGTGAGCCAGTTGCCAAGTTTCCAAAATGTGGTCATGTGACTAGAAGTGTGTATTCCTCTGTCTGAAACCAGGTTGTAACTACTTTGGTGTGTGTGTGTGTGTGTGTGTGTGTGTGTGTGTGTCATAACTTTGGACAGTCGCTAAATGACTGCTTGTTAAGCAACACTACCATCTAAAAAGCGTTTTTCACTGGCTGAGGAATTCTGGGGGTTGAAGGCCACACATCTTAAAATTGTTGAAGTTGAGAAACACTGACCTGGAAGTCGCTCTTCGTTTTGATACTTCCTCATACAATTTCCTTTGGTTTCTGTTTTCCCCCCAGACCCATCCAGTTTGTTGCAAACCAATTTGCCCAGCACCCTCACAGGTATGATATACGGTCCTTTTCTAAAAAAAAAAAATCCTATGGAAATGTCTCCTTTTTTTCTCCCCTGTGGTAACTGTTCTTGGACCATGGAGAAGGAAGTAGAGAAATAGTCTAGTTGGAATAGTATTAGCCAGTGTGGTGAAGTGATTAAGATGTTAGACTAAAGAAATCCCGGTTTCCAAACTGGATGATGTAGTACCACCTCTTGTTTGTTGGACCAACCTACCTCACAGGATTGTTGTGGTAGAGACTTTGGGGAAAGGAATGCTCCTGAAGGAAAGATGGCATATGAATCTAACCAACAAATAAAAAAATAGAAATAATCTGGTTAACGTAAACGTATTTGGCCTGAATTAATTCTGAGATAGTTGCCAGTCAGGGGGTGTCAAATTTGATTTTATTGAGGACCACATCAGGGTTGTGGTTGACCTTGGGGGGGCCAGGTGGGCGTGGCCATGGTGGGTGTGGCCATCTTCCCTCCCTCCTCTCATCCCCATCTCCCTCCCTCCTTCCTCCCTCCCCTTTCTCCTTCTCTCCTTGTTATTCCCATCTCTTTCTTCCTCCCTCCCTCCTTCCCCTCCCCTTCATTCCCATCTCCTCCCTCCTTCCCTCCCTTCCTTTTCCCTCCCCTTCCCTTTCTCCTTCTCTCCTTCTCATTCCTATCACTTTCCTTCCTTCTTTCCTTTCTCTCCTCTCCTTTCTCCTTCTCTCTTGTTATTCCCATCTCCTTTCTTCTCTCCCTCCTTCCCCTCCCCTTCATTCCATCTCCTCCCTCCCTCCCTCCCTTCCTTTCTCCCTCCCTCCCCTTTCTCCTTCTCTCCTTCTCATTCCCATCACTTTCCTTCCTTCTTTCCTTTCTCTCCTCTCCTTTCTCCTTCTCTCCTTGTTATTCCCATCTCCTTTCTTCCTCCCTCCCTCCCTCCCTCCCCCTCCCCCCTCCTTCTCATTCCATCTCCTCCCTCCCTCCCTTCCTTCCTTTCTCCCTCCCCACCCCTTTCTCCTTCTCTCCTTCTCAATCCCATTACTTTCCTTCCTTTCTCCCCTCTCCTTTCTCCTTCTCTCCTTATTCCCATTTCATTCCTTCCTCCCTCCCTCCTTCCCATTCCCTCTTCCTTCCTTCCTTCCTTCCTTTTCCTTCCTTCCTTCCATCCATCCATCCATCCAGGGGGCGGTGCTGAGGCAGTGCAGTGGTTCCTTGCCGGCTCCAGGGCTGCCCGAGGATCTATGGCTGACCACGTTCCGGCTCAGATTGTTGCCATCAAATTATAGATTAGCACCTGGCGGGCCTGGGCCAGGGCTGAGGTGCTGGAGGCTGGTCCTTTGAGTGTCTCAAGGGCAGCCCCACAGGCCAGTACATACAGTAAGAACCTGAATACAAAATAAACAGTATTGAGTTGCTGATGAGTGTAACAATGAACAAATACAGATAAAGTCCAAGTTTCACCAACAATGCTATATATGTATATGGGACATGGATTTTTGTCCTATGTTAAATATGCACCACAGATTAGTCTGGATTCCTCCAGGTGATTTTGCGTCCTCAGAATGTTAGAAAATGGAGCCTGGCTTCTCAGGATGCAGTTGGGTGTGTTTCTCCACACTCCCCACCCCGAATGAGGGAGGGTGGGCCTTCTGTAGGGCCACACTAACTACTAAAACCAACTTTCTAAACAATGAAAGATTTTATCTTTGGCCACTAGATGGAGCTCAATACATGTTTAGAGAACACTAATAGCCTACAGATATACAAACTCTGCCAAAAGCAGAACAGTCTTTACTGTTTAGGACTCTGCCACACTGAGCAATGTTTTGAGAAACAGAGAGATGGAAACAGGAAGATTTCATTCATAAACATTGGCAGGGATAGATGACAGTTGGGTTCTACTTCAGAGAGTTGGATGCAAGAGTTGCAAGATCAAGTGCAGCCCATGGTGTGGTGCAGGGGTGAAATGCTCTGAAGTCTGCTACCGTTTCGCTTTGCTACTGCTTTGCTTCGCGTGCGCATGCGCAATGTGCGCCAAAAGCACGCTTTGCGTGCATGCGCACTGCAAGCACTACTGCGCAGCACTGAAAAAGGAGGATTAAGAAGCCTTTTCTGAGTCTGCAAAGGTAAGTAGAACAGCAGGATTTCCTGCTTTCTAGCGAATATAAATCGTACGGCACAGCTGATCGGAAATACAGGTTCACCCGAACCGGCCGGTAGCATTTTTTTTACTACTGGTTTGCCCAAACCGGTAGCAATTTTTACTACAGTTTCGGGTGAACCAGTCCAAACCGGCAGCATTTCACCCTGGTGTGGTGTCACTACCCAGTTGGCACAAAAGGGAAGATGTACAATGACATCATGATGCATGTGGTGTCTTTGTGAATTGTACCAGATGCCTACAAATTTCTCCCAATTTGTATTTCTCAATTGTAGTAACTTTAAGATGCGTGGAGTCAGCTTCATCTTTGCTGGATAATTTTGGGAATTAAAATGCATACATCTTAAAAGTTGCCTAGGTTGAGAAATAGAGGGAGAACAGCTGTCGGGGGCTCTTGGTTGGGAAATTTATATTCATGCTGTACCTGGTCCTGGCATCCTGACTGTGATGTTGCCATACTCTGGGGTTTTGGGGAAACTAGAGTATCCATTGTGAGCTGCTATCGAAATTTCCTAGGTAAGGATGTCAGAGGGCATTATGGGTAACTAAAATGGCAGACATTTTGTAGCTGGCATAACAAAGCCGTTAACTCTTGCAGAAAGAGGAGGAACCAGGATTAAAAATGTGTCTTGCTGAGTAGGAATTACTATCAGTCCTGCTTTAAAGAATTGTTGGATTCCCAAGCTTTTTGACAAATGTTTGGCTTATGTGTATATTTGGATTTTTTTAAAAAAAAAATTAAAATCTAAAACCTTCATATGTAAAATCCTGACTACTATCCTTTTTTCTTCATAGCCAATTGCCTATCCCATTGGACAATGCTTTCAGCCCAAATTTATGTAAGTCTTTTATCATATTACCAATATTTGCACATTGTTTTTTTTTCTGGCCCATCAATTATGAAGGATTTCAACCCTAGGCAAGCATGGAATTATGGGAGTCAAAGTCCCACACATTTAGGGGTCTGATATTACTCAGGTAGGAATCCTCTAAAATGGGCACAAAGGAGCATTGGGTAGGAATTTTGACTCAGCATGGGGACCCAGTCACCAAGTTTGCACATTATGTGAATCAGGACATCACTGTCAGACCTGCCCCGACTTGGTCCTTTAGTCAAGAAAGACCCTCAACTCCGTTTGTAGTGAAAGGTATACTTTACTAAAAGCCAAGTGGATTACAGTGTAGCAAAACCAGAACTAAAGTTCGCACGCCAAAATTCCCTGGTTAACTTTCTCCATCCTATTGGAAGAAATGTCCATCCATTCCCCACCCAAGTGGGGAAAAAGACACTAGAAACATGGAGACTGCTTGGAAAGATGGTTTAATGGTGGACAGGAATCATATGGCTTGAGTTTCTGAGTAGAAAAAAAAAGGGACAACAGTCAACATGGCAATAGAAGTTCTGTTCTCTTTTTATGTGAATGAGCATCCACATTAAAAAGAGCAAGGATTTGATTATGTGGTGGCCTCAGACATTTTGATTTTTTCAGACACACTCACTGAACCCCTGTATACACCAATTGGCCTTTTCTAAATTTGATTGATAACTTGAAGGTGCAAAATGGGAAAAAATTCAGATTAATTCTAATATTGTTTGTGTTTGTGTTCTCTCCACAGTCTCTCCCTTACCGAACTACCATCTGTGGGGGCTTTTCCCCATCCAAATCAATAATAGTCTCAGGCTCTGTGTCCCTTGTGCTCACAGGTAAAATGCTAAGAAATATTGTTGGTAAAACTTCCTTCCACACAATTTTATTTGAATTCATTTATTCTGAATTCCTTTCAAATGAATGATTTTGGGCTGCACAGTTAAAAACAGTCAGTTGCCTTTTGAAACAGCACCTTTGAGACTGTGTAATGCACGGGTGTTTCTGTGTTTTGTATTTTATCTTTAGCCATAAAAAGTAAATAAACATGTTTGGAAAAAGAAAATAAAGTGAGGCTTCATCAATAGATGATAAAGGGCTACCGCAAACGAACATCAGTGTGCCTAGAGTGAGTTGGCGATACTTCTTAAATATTCCTTCCAGGAACAAAGTTGGCCAACCAGAAGCCCAGCCAGCTGGGTGACAAAAGGAACACCTCTCTGTCACAGCCTTCATGGTTCAAATCTGTTACCTTGACCTATGAAAAAAAATGAGCGGAAAGGATACACAGCTAAGGATGGACACACCCATTCCAAAAGTACTAAATATGATAAAATGAACGTTGCTGTACTTTTTATTTTTTCAAGTGCAAATAAAAATAAAAGAATCGTTACTGTCACACTCCATGCATGATAGGATACAATGTGGGTTATCTCTATATTATATACAGTCTATCTATTTATCTATTTGTATCATCTATCTATCTATCTATCTATCTATCTATCTATCTATCTATCTATCATCTATCTATCTATCTGTCTCTCTCTCTCTCTGTCTATAATCTATCATCTATCTATATAATCTCTATATCTATCATCTATCATCTCTCTCTCTTTGTTGTGGCCTGCAGTAGCCAGCAGAGCTGGCAGCAGATTCAGACAGTGAGGAGGTTGGGGAGGAACTGGGCCAATCCTGGAGTCTGGGGAAGGCTTGGATGAGGGCTCTGAGTCGGAGGCAGAGAGGGGGCCAAGGCTGTTGGTAGTTCTTTGCTGCCTCCAGAGTATCCAGAGTCTGACATCAGTGAGGCAGAAGAACAGCGTGAGCCTGTTCCCAGGGTTGTGCATGCGCAGAGCTGCCAGGAGACAGGAACAATTAAGGAAACAGGGTTGACTTGGGAGGAAGGCTTAGAGATGATTGGCCCCTCCCATAAGACATAAAAGAGAAGCGAACGGGAATGAGCTTTTGCAGGAAGCAATTAGTTCATCTGGCCGATTCAAGATTTGAAACTTCTGTTTGTGACTCTGTTTGGCCTTGCCCTGTGTCTGGAAATTAGCTCTTTGGCAGTGCTCCACGTGAGATAGGTGGGTGTTGATAACCTTCCTCTCAAAGACTGTTTATCAAGCCTTGCGGACTGTAAATGAAATTAATTTTAAAGCCATATGAATTAAAGAGGTTTGCCGGGACTAAGTTTGTGCTGTTTAATTTCTAAGGAAGCCTAGGTCAGAAAAACACTCTTTCTTTCTCTCTCTCTCTCTCATCTATCTATATCTATTTGTCATCTATCGAGTGACCCTTTTTTCTAGAAGTGGAGATCTCTTGATGAAATCCTTAAAAAAGAAAATCTATTTGGCAAAAAGATTCTTGCTTACCAGGTTCACACGCCTTTGAGATTAATAATGGCTTTTGAATCAGCAATATAATATCTTCAGAAGTTGGAATGTCCATGTGTGTAGTTTCTGGATGGGGATAGTTTCCTGCTAATTGTGCAGCGCAAGGGTCTTTTCATGTAGGTTCCACATCAATCTGAAAGTGGGGAACGATACTGCTTTCCATCTCAACCCACGGTTTGATCAGAACGTGATTGTTCGAAAACTCTAAGCTCAACATGTGCTGGGGCTCAGCAGAGCGACACCTGCCTGTGGGATGCCTCTGTTGCGTGGCCAACCCTTTACCGTAAGTCAAAGCACCACCTGGGTTGCTCCACCTGGGCCAGATGATTGTGTGAACTGATTTAAATTTGCATTTATCAGGCTAGCCTAATGCAATGAACTTCAGGATCCTTGGTTCGCCCATACAACAACCCTCTTTAAAAGCTGCACTGCTTACAATGAAAATTAGGACTGGATTTTTGGTCATAAGTTGGTGCGGTTGAAAATCAAGTCATCCTGTTACCAGACCTGATTTTACAACTATTTTTACAGTGGCCTAAAGCAAATCACTATTTCACAATTCAGTCACAAACTAAAATCACTGTTAAACCTGAACTAGTAATAAATATCAGAACCATGGTTAGCACAACATAAATCGCCAAATAAAATAATACACTATACTATGTTACCAGTAATATAATGTATAAATAATATAATATAATACAGTGTATTCATTTCATCCTTATTACCATACTAAGCATTTATTCGGATTTAAATTTGTAAAATTGAAATATGATTCTAAGATAAATCCAAATTTGGGGTGTAGTACCAATCATGCACTACATTAAAATCTCAGAACTGAATTAAAATCTGTATCAAAGTTACTTTTAGTTGTTCTGGATACTCATCATTTAGTGATTTTGAGGACATCATCAGATCTTGCAGGTGCTTCTGTGAAATATCTTTGCTGTTTTGTTGTTGGAAAATGGTTAATTTGTGATGTTATAAAAATTTAAAGATCTGGGTTATATTATCAGGTCCCATTAAGGTGGTCACAAATGTGCATTTTCTTTTTATAGATCTTGATTCAGTGTGAAGCACACTGCTTTAAGGTGGCTGTGAACGGACATCATCAGTTTAACTACAAACCATCGCATACATAACCTGCATCAGATAAATCTGCTCGAAGTGGGCGGTGGACATAACATTGACCAACATCCAGGCTTTAAAGTCGTCAATAGAAGTCCATGTTTGGATAGATGCAGTGGTGGGATTCAGCGGGTTCACACCAGTTTGGGAGAAAACTGGTAGTTAACTTTCTGAGCAATTCGAAATCTCCTTCCAACAGTCTTTTGTTTCCCCACCTTAAGGGGTTAATCCTGTCAGGAAGGCAGGAAGGAGACATTCTGGTGTGCCTCTGTTTCTAGCCTAATCCAAAAGAAACTCCAAATTTATCCAGATGTGAATCAATTAAAAATTGGAAGTTGGTTCCACAGCATTCTAGCTCTGACCAGATGCAGAACTCAGAACACGACAGAGAATGATTGGAGAATTTGCTAATCTAGGATGGACAGTTATTTCTTCAAAGTTTACACAGTCAAGTAGAAAAATGAATAGTGACAATGAGGAACTCACAAATGTTTTTATTCAAGTCTGTTGCACAGTTCTTTCCCTCACATTGATCCTTCCAATCCCCAAAATGTGAGACAAAAAAAATGTTCAAGTCAATAGATGATCTGATTTTATTTGCCCTGTTGTGATCGAGACCGGCTCCTTCAGAGGGCAAGACAGGCTCTTGAAGGGCATTCAAGGTGGGTAATCGATAGCCCACCATTTGAGACAGAATTCTTACATCAATACCAATTCTGTCTCAACAAATGCTGGTCCTGTGTTTGAAAGGTGGCTCTAATGCCATGGTGAAGTGAAGTTCTCAAAAGAGTAGACTCATTTTCAGCAAATACTGTAGTAACATATTGGGATGGGTTGATGCTATTGGAATGTGAAATCGGGTTGTGATGTGGTGTTGAGAGCCAGCTTGGTGTAAAGGTTAAGGCACTGGCTAACAACTCTGAGTTCTAGCCCTGTCTTGGGGACAAAGTCTGCTGGGTGACCCTTCAGCCAGTGCCTCTCTCAGCCCTGGGAAGAAGAAGGACCCTAGCAACATAGCTACGATCTAGAAATCAAACTCCTTTCCTTGTAATATTGTGTGCCTGGAAAACATGACCTCCAATAGCAATGCCTCAGGCACAGATTATGGACGACTAGGGGCATCCACAGAGGAAGTCAGAAAAGTCAGGATGTAACTGCAATGGCATAATTAATTCCGGTCCCTTTTATGTGTGATATGCATGCAGTCATGCGAATACTGTTGTCATCTTGATTTTTTTTTAAATCTTTCCTGCAGATGCCCCTATGCAAGCACCTATAAGCAGTTCCAGTTTTTGGTTTTAAATGAGGTTAGCCGTTTCTCTTCTGAACATACAAAAGCAGGGGTGAAAACAGCCACAAAAGCTCCCCCTTTGTCCAAGAATGGAATTTAAATAATAATATAATAAAGACTGATCACTACAAAAGTTCCAATAAAATAGACATAGTCTAAAAGAATTAAATATAATTAAATAAAATAGTACAGTATGTAGTGTTTTATCCAAAACCCAAACTATTTGGTTTTGTGGTGCAAATTCTGCTTATTTGGTCCACGTTGGCAGACGCTGCTGTAAAAGCAACTTTTGGGGACCCCCGTTGAGGCTAAGGAAGGCCTCTGGGTAGGAAGTTAGGGTTAAAGTTTTAGCTGGGCTTGAGTTTGTAAGACTTTTATGGGTCCTTCAGTTTTTATTTCTTCCATGGTTCTTTGGTTCTCTTTTGGAAACGTTGCTCCAAATATGTCCTCTTTGTATCGTTTCTGCCTCTGTAAAAACAAAACAAGGAAAGTTAAGAATCGGCGGAATTGTTTTAGTATAATTCCTGTGGAATTTTAAATGAAGGCCTGGATGGAAGGAACTCAATTAAAACACAGATTGTTCAAACCAGCAGCATTCATAGGGAGGGTCAAAATCTGACTGATAGGGAGTGCAGTGCCATGATCCTTTTGTTACATGCATGTAAAAAGGGGAAAGGCTTGGATTGCAGCTACTTGCCTTTCATTTTGATCATTCGCTGTGGATACCCTTCCAACATTGCAAACTCAGTTAATTTGGGGGAAAATATTCCGTAAATACGTTATTCAACTTGTTCAATAAATAAATTGAGATGCCCAGGATTGCCATCTAATAAGTCCTCCCCACCAGCTCCAAGGTTATCTTAGCCACCTTGGTTACAGAGTGGGGCCCATACTGGCAGAGGCCAATCATCACTTCTGAATTAGTTAAAAACCTTATTGGATCCCTCCTGATCATTCCATGATCTGGGGTCCAAGACCTCTCCCCTCCTTGTGCATTTGGGCAGCATTGACAGAACCAACATCAGTCAATTGCAAAAGACAGCTTTACCTGGAACAGATTACATCCTGCAATGATACCGTTAACACTCTCAAACAACAACATCTGACTATCCCAGGTGCTTGGAAGTACTCAGTAGCGGGATAAAAATTCCCAATCCAGTCTAAACAGTTGACTGGCTGTGCAGCAAACCATAATAATGGCAACTATCAAACTGAACACCACAAACACATGTAGATACATGCAGAACCCATGTATCTCTTTTTAAACATTTCCATCCTGATATTCTTAATCCAAGGCTGTTTCAGGCTATCATAAATCTGTTAAAAATTGAAACCAATGCTACAAAGTTGAATGAAAAATAGCAGAAAAATGAGGGGGCAATATATTTGCAAAGAATTAAATAGTTGATAAGAAAAGTAACCAAAATGTTAAAAGTCATAGCACTTAGATTAAACTTTGTGGTCTATTTGCAGAAATAAAGATACTCATAATACAGCCAAAAGCCACAGGAGGGGAGAAGATAAAATTAGTCAATTCTGAAATGGGAATTAAGCTCACCCTTAAAGTAATCTTCTCTAACCCAGTGTAAAGGTATGGTAAAGGAGTCCAAGCATATTTGATTCCGTTAGTCTTTGCCAACTATAGGGGGTGGGGCTCATCTCAGTTTCAATTTCATTGAGCCAATGCTGCCTGAAGACTTTTCCACAGTCATGTGACTAGCATGACATCACAGAGCACTGTTAATTTCCCACCAAAGTGGTACCTATTTATCTACTCGCATTTACATGCTTTTGAACTGCTAGGTTGGCAGGAGCTGGGGCGAGGACGGGAATTCAGCCCATTGTGTAGTGCTTGGGTCTCGAACCTGGGCTACCGGCTTTCCAGTAGATAAGTCCAGCTTCTTAACTGCTGAGCCACCCCCTGATCCAGAAAGATGATGGAAATTAGAATCCATTTTTAGGGTCTGAGCTTGGAAAGCTTATCTAAAAATCAAAAATTGCCAACTTGTTAAGACTTCCCACAGTATTTGTGCTCCTCAAAGACTTTTCCTTGCCCACTTAGAAGATCATTTTTAAAGTCATTCAACCAAATAATAAACTCGGCCTCCTTTTCTTGAGGAATGCCAGAAGCCTGGATGACTCCAAATGACAAGACATGAGTTGAGAACTCTCACTGGGGGATGATTTCAGCCCATTTACAAGACCATGTTTATAATGCGGATTAGGTTTAGGATTAGGATTGAGTTTGGCAGCCAACCAAATGGAAATGGGTCATCATACCTTCAGCTGAAAACAATAGTCCTCTGCTTCCTCTTCGGTCAAGCTCAGCTTCTTTGCAAACATCTCCTTTAAGGTCTTAGCCACTTCGCTGGCCATGCGGATGTCCCCACAGACATACAGGTGTCCCTCTTCTTCATGGAGAAGCTTGTATACCTCTGCTTCTAATTCTTTCCGAAGGAGGTCCTGCACATAAACCTGAACCATTTGCATATCATTCAGATTTTTTCTTGGAAAGCTGCTATATTTAATCACTTCATAAAGTGGATCGTTAATCTAGTGCTTGCCAGAAGTTTCTGAGTTCCCATTAGCCCTCCCCAGCGAGGCTGGTGGCCAGGATTATGAAATTCATTTATCTGTTGGAGGCGTGGAATTGGGATGCTTTGGCTACAAAGCTTTTTTAGAGCAGAGCAAATTACAAGTGAATAATTCTTTTTAAAAAGACTGACAAACGTACACTCCAAAAATAAGAAAGACGAGAAGGAGAAAATCGAAGTATACTTCAAAACATTTGGAAGGCAATAGGGCCATGATGGTGAACCTATGGCACACCTGCCACAGGTGGCACACGGAGCCATATCGGTAGGCACATGAGTGTTGTCCTAGCTCAGCTCCGGCGCGCATGTGTGCACCGACCAGCTGATTTATGGGCCTTTCAAGCCCACTGGAAGTCAGGAAACAAGGCGTTTCTGGCCTCCAGCCTCTGGAGCTTGGGGAGGGGGAAAACGAGCCTTCTAGTCCCACTGGAAGACAGCAAACAGGCCGTTTCCGGCCTCCGGAGGGCCTCCAGGGGGGTGGGGAAGGCCGTTTTTACCCTCCCCAGGCTCCAAGAAAGCCTCTGGAGCCCAGGGAGGGCAAAAAACGGGCCTTCTAGTCCCACTGGAAGACGCAAATGGGCCGTTTCCAGCCTCTGGAGGGCCTCCAGGGGGGTGGGGAAGCCATTTTTGCCTTCCCCAGGCTCCAAGAAAGCCTGGGGAGGGCAAAAAACGGGCCTACTGGGCCCACCATGCCATCACGTGCCAAAAGCGGGGGGTGGGTGGAGGGGTCACATGCGCATGCGCGGGGGGGCAGGGCGCATTGAACTATGGGTGTGGGCACACACACACACACGACCCCCCTGCGTTCCCACTTTTGGCATGCGACGGCAAAAAGGTTAGCCATCACTGCAATAGGGTGTCTATCCCCAGTAGTTGGACAATCTATGCCACAGCTGGGAGAAATAATTAGTAGAATCCCAATATTTTAGAGCACAGCACCCATAACGTATATGCTATTAGAAGAGACTATCTATAGCTCAGAGTAGAACTGTGCAGTTCTTGGAAGTTGGTTGGTTGCTTGCAGAATTTTCGTGATCCAACTACTGTGTTTCCCCGAAAATAAGATCCTGTCTTATATATTTTTTGAACCCTGAAATAAGCACTTGGCCTTATTGCCATGCGTTCAAAAGCCCGATT